CCCATGGCCATGACACCCACCATGACTGACACAGCCCCATAACAGGGATCCCATGTCCTCCTCTGCAAGAGGGCACAGCCCTATGACACCCACCATGACTGACACAGCCCCATAACAGGGCCCTCATGTCCTCCCCCATGAGGGAACACAACCCCATGGCAGTGACACCATCATGACCTCCCAGCAGGAACAAACCTGTGTCACTGCCCCAAGCAGAGGCATCCCCTACCCCCTGAGGGATGACCCTCAGCTCCTCCTGCCCCATCCTTTCCCTCAGCCCTGTAAATGATGTTACCCCCACCTTAAAAAGGTGCCATTGACTGTGCTCCCAAAGGAAACTCCTGCTGACACCAAACCACCTTTGAGCTTGATCCTGAACCATCCCACCCGCTGCTGAGCTGCTCTGCATCCCCCCTCAGCTGTGTCACCCAAGAGGCCTCTGCTCCCAAGGACACAGTGGAGCTTCCCCTGGAAAACACCGTTATCCTGCAGAAACATTCTGGGATGTCAAGGTCTCCTCACCGTTCAGCGCTGCCCCTCTCAGTGCAAATCCTTCCTTTGGAAGCAGCTGGTGGTTGTTGTTGTTGTCGTTGTTAATTCGTGTTGTGAAAACGGGCACTGGAAGGTCCCATTCCCAACCCCGTTATCAGGTGCAGCAGAGCTGTCCTTGCACGGGAATCCCACGCTCTGCCAGGGACACGGTGGGATGAAAAGCAGGATCAAGCCCAGGTTGTGGATGCCACCATGGGTTTCTGCATTTGTTTTTATTGTTTCTTCTTCTGAGATATAAATAATCCACTCGGATTGTAGGAGCACACCTCGGACCTCCCTCACCGCTGCTTGGGAAGGTTGAACGCTGCTGGTCTGAATAACATGGAATCGTGGAACCGTTTGGGTTGGAAGGGACCTTAAAGATTATCTCGTTCCAACCCCCCTGACAAGGGCAGGAACACCTGTATTGTCACTTATTTAAATGAGAAAGGGATAAAATAACTCCCGAAAATGGGGCTCCCTGACTGGAACAATGCAGGAGTGGCAAGGAGAGCTTGGTGAAAATTTAGAATCGTTAAGAATTGTTAAGGTAGGAAAAGACCTTTCAGATCATCAAGTCCAAGCACTCCTCCAGCACTGCCAAGGCCACCACTGACCCATGTCCCCAAATGCCACATCCACAGGGATTTTAAATCCCTCCAGGGATGGGGCCCCACCACTGCCCTGGGCAGCTGTGCCAGGGCTGGACAACCCTTTCCATGAAAAACTTTTCCCCAATATCCAAACTAAACCTCTTCTGGTGCAATTTAAGGCCGTTCCCTCTCCTCCTGTCCCTTGTTCCCTGGGAGCAGAGCCTGATCCCCCCCGGCTCCCCCCACCTGTCAGGGAGTTGCAGAGCCAAAAGGTCCCCCCTGAGCCTCCTTTTCTCCAGGCTGAGCCCCCCCAGCTCCCTCAGCTGCTCCTCATCAGACTTGTGCTCCAGCTTGATTAGCCCACGTGGAATTCCCCAGCTCCTGCCCATCATGCCTGTGGTTCCCAAACCTGGTTCCCTGCGAGACCAGATGGGTGTCACTCTGGATGTGTTGACACCACGAGGAAATCCGATGGCTGTCACCATGGAGATCTGGTAGAAGCTTTCCGAGGACCAAGAAGCAAAGACACAGGACAGCAGTAGAAGGAAAGGAGATTGAAATAGCAGGGGAATCCCGACCCAGGGGATGGATTAGGAGCTGGATCATGGGGAAGTACAGCACAGCCTCCTCTGGCTGCTCTGCAGAGGCCTGAGCTGGGACATCCCTGGAGAAGGCTGGAGCTTCCAGCAATCCCTCGTGGCGAAACAGGGGCAATCCCTTAAGGCAAAACAGGGGCAAACCCTTAAGGCATCACCCTGATGGCTGCTGAGGAGCAGATCATCGCTGATTTAAACTGCTCTGGAGTTCAGACCGCTGGGATGAGCTGCCTGTGGCTCTGGGAATGCTCAGTGTGTGATACAAACCCAGTTCCGGCGCAGAATCAGGGGATCCCAGCATCCACCGCTGTTCCCAGCTAAGAGGATTATTGTTATCCTTCAAATTAGTGGGGCTGGTGCTGTGGGGGACTGAGCCAATATTCCTGAAGTCAGTGGTAACTATTGCTCTGTCTCAGCTGAGATTGTTAAACAGGATTAAACACCAGTGGTCCAAGAGTGAGTGGCTGGCAACGACCCTTAATGGCTTTAATTACAGGATGAGAACTGCTATGGATGACACCAATGCCAGGATCAATCCTGAGTGTTCCATCAGGGAATGGTGTTACCACAAATAAAGATCTCTGAAACAAGGTCTGTTTTTCTCTGGTGGGAGAGTGCTGCTCAGTCCACTGGGTTATGATACAAAGGGGTTGAGCACAGAGATGGGAATTTGTAATCAGTCATGGAATCACTGGATGGTTTGGGTTGGAAGGGACCTTAAAGATTGTCTCATTCCACCCCCTGCCATGGGCAGGGACACCTTCTACTAGACCACGTTGCTCCAACCTGGCCTTGGACACTTCCAGGGATCCAGGGGCAGCCACAGCTTCTCTGCCCAGCCTAGGACAGGGCTTCCCCACCCTCACAGACAACAATTCTTTCCCAATATCCCATCTATCCCTGTCCTCTGGCAGTGGGAAGCCATTCCCTGCGTGCTGTCCCTCCATGCCATGTCCCCAGTCCCTCTCCAGCTCTCCTGGAGCCCCTTTAGGCCCTGCAAGGGGCTCTCAGCTCTCCCTGGAACCTTCTCTTCTCCAGGGGAACCCCCCCAGCTCTCCCAGCCTGGCTCCAGAGCAGAGGGGCTCCAGTCCTGGCAGCATCTCTGGGGCCTCCTCTGGACTCTCCAGCAGCTCCACGTCCTTGTGCTGTTGTTCCCAGGGCTGGAGGCAGCTCTGCAGGGGGGTCTCAGCTGAGACAGGGGCAGAGGGGCAGAATCCCCCCCTGCCCGGCTGCCACGCTGGGGGATCAGCCCGGGAAGTGGGATCAGCCCGCGATGTTGTTATCAAGCAGCAGAAATCGAGTAACCCGGCAAAACAAAGCACAAGGAGATTATCAGCCGTCTGCTCCTCCTCCCTGTTGTGTGAGCACCATTCTGAGCCCCGCTGGCCCCGGGGTCACCCTGAGCCTGATGTTCAGCTGATTCCCCACCCTCACCTTCAATTCTGGGGATAAAATTTTCCATTCT